AGTTTCCGGAGAGTCTGCTATGGCAGTACTTCGGCCGTTTTGGTGCAGTGGTTAGTGTGCGGGTGAACGTGGTATCTTCCAGTCCACTTTAGGGTCTGAGGACTAACATTCACACTCTGGGCATGAGGCTTCGGGAAGATATTCTGTCCTCTGTGCGGCTTACGGGCTACAACGTTCGGGTGTTTTACGCCCTCCAGCCTCGGACGTGTTATCGTTGTGGCCTCTTGGGCCATCAGGCTGCTGACTGTTCTGCGCCTGCCATTGCACCCATGAACCTCTTCAGTGAGGAGGATTTTCCGCCACTTCCTGTGGAGGAGGATTCAGTGGATGTGGACATCTCTTCAGCCGCGGATGTGCCCCCTGTGTCGCCTGTTGCGCCGCCTGGTGCGCCCCCTGTTGTTGTCGCCTCTCCTCAAGAGGTTGTGGCGTCGCATGGTGATCGTCCTGCTCCGACTAGTGTCCCTGGGGTTCTTCAGACTGCCTGCTGCTCGAAACCCCCGTCTTCCAGTTCGTCCTCTGCTGCGTCTGACCCTGTCCCTGCACCCTTGCCGGCTGTTCCGGCTGTGCTGGGTGATGGGGTGGATCCGGTACTTCCTCCAGTGCCTGGCCTGGTGCCCCATGTGGTTGAGGATGCTGCCATTCTGCGACGTGCATCGGTTCGCCCGGCTTGTGTTGCGCGTGTCTCTGAGTCGGCCTCTCGGTCTGATGATGTGCGGCCAGAGCCGCACATCATCAGACCGAGAGGCGTTCCCGGCGTTCGTCTTCAGCATGGGCAGGCGTTGGCGATTTCGACGCTTGTGGATCTGCCGGCGACGGAGGGGTGGCTCCGGTTGCGTTGCAGACTACGGTGACAGTGGAGGTGCATTTGCCGGAAGATGCCAGTGCCGGTGTTTCAGCCTCTACTTCAGATATGGTGTCTGCGGTTCCTGCTTCGGGTGCGTCGCCTGCCTCGGATGGCTCCGGTTCTTCGTGGGGGGTGGTTTCCCCTGCTGAGGTTCGCGGTGAGCGGGGTGGCCTGGTGATGCTGTTGAAGAAAACTGCTTGCTCTGGAGGTTCTGTAACCCCTTCCTCGGTCCCTGTTTCATCGACTGCGGTCTCGACGCCTCTTCCGTCTCCGGCCATCTCTTGAGTATCTTCTGCGGTCTCGGTGGAGGCGTTACCATCTCGTCGATTGTCCCCTGCTCCTGTACGTACGGCGACGAGGCCGTCTTGGCAGCCCTCGAACGCTTCATTGGTGTCATCTGCTACCTCGAAGGTCGTGGCTTGTGCTCCCCAGCCTCGTTATGCGACTTGCGTCGGTGAGCTTCAGGAGTGGCCGTTTCCGCCTGATCTGGAGGTTCCCGAGTTTATGCAGGGGCCCATGGAAGCAGGGGGATCGTCCCCCCACCGACTTGGAGTATTTGATTTGGGAGGCCTATAAGTGAAGGTATCCTTGGGATTCGTTCCCTGAGAAATATATTCCTGTCTCTGAGAAATGTATTCCTCGCTCATGATTCCTTTGTGTATTGTGTGTTGTGGGTTGTTTCCATTTGTATGCATGGTACTGGGGTGCGGGTCGGGTGTGGGTGGGGCGGGTTTGTTTCCCGGTTCCTGCGTGCTCCGGTTTGTGGTTGTGGGTGGGGCGGGTTTGTTTCCCGGTTCCTGCGTGCTCCGGTTTGTGGTTGTGGGTTTGTGTGGCTTGTATGTGTGTGTGTGTCCGGTTCCTGTGCGGTCCAGGGTTTGGTTGGTGTGTGTGTCTAGTTGTGGATGTCGTGTTCTTGGGTTATGCTTTGTGGTTCTATGTTTTTATGATGTTGTTTGTGCGCTTGTTTGTGTCGTGTTGAGTGCCCTTCAGGCTGTTGGCGTGACCCAGTCTGGGTTTATGCTTTTTGTCGTGTTTCGCCATTGTGCTTTTCTTTCTGTTTGTTGTATACATGATTTCCTTTCTTGTTGTTATTTCTATTATTTCTATTATTATTATTATTATTATTTTTCTTATTATTGTTTTCGTTTTGTGTTGTTGGAAATTTCCAACACTAAATACAACACTGTTGTATTCTCATTATTTATTACTAAATCTACTAATCATTGTAGTGATTAAAATTAACCAAACGTAGAGTTCACATGTACTAATAATTACATCTGTACAATAAGGCTAGAATTCTTACGTCACCCGACGCCAGTATCGCGTCAGATTCCATTGTAATAAACACATTTATATCCAGTGTGTCTGAGAATTGAATTTGATTCTCTATAAACAACGGTGTTCTGTGTGATAATTATTTACAGATAAACTGATCTCCAACTAAAGCCAAATAGAGCGTTTATAGTTATAACTGTTATCTAGTAATAAATTTAACGTCACGCGTGAATGCCCTGGAGAGACTTTAATTCATCTCCATTGTTCGTTTCCCATCATAAAACGGGCAAATAATAATATTTAACTCCTCTGAATAATAAACCCGTCCTTATCCGAGCATTTCAATCACAACTGCGAGAAATGCTAATATCCGTAATAAATAATTTGTGTAGCACACGAGGCGATGCACTCAGAGAGAGACGCCATTACCCCAGCCACCAGGGTAGACGCCATCAAGAGCTCCAGAAGAAAGTCCCCACTGTGAGGTGTGAAGAACCTTTGCAGACATTCACTTTGCTGGTGTCAGTGTCACTTTACAAAACGAGTTGAATTGTCAAGAGATTTAATTTGACATTCGGCCAGAACCTGTTAAATTTGGTTCTGTGTAGTTCCACATGACCAGCCAGTGAAGCGCGTCAGCATCTAGGCTAGGCTGGACACCACGTGTTCGTTATTACGAAGCCGGAACCTAGGACGCGAACTTCGGCAAGCCTTAACTTACACAGTGCCCATATTAGCTAAGTACCTTTATCCTTATTTGATGCATCATCTAGGTGGGGGTTTATAGCTGGGTAGCTTGTCGTGACGCCGAGCGACAATAAAAAACCACAGGTCATTATTTACTTTCATTATTTAATCCAATTTTCTTGAACATAGATATCTAGCAGCTTAATCTGTTGCTACTGAATATAATTTGATTTACAGCGTGTGTGAAGAATTCTCCGAGCTGTCATTTCCCGTGTTAATCATCTCCCAGTGTTCCATGACGAGTCCAGGAGAATCAGAGGATGAGTCGTAACTAACTTCTTGGAAATCGTCTTCAAGCTAAGACTCTTTCCGTATTCCTTGATTTCTATTATCTGTATTCCTTTACATGCAGAACATTGTTTTCTTTGGATTGACATGTGTTTATTATAATTATCAATTCTCATGTTCTTAATCTATGTTCTCATTGATGATAAAAATAATGATTCTATAAATGGTCATAGGATTAGATTATTACATATTGGACTGGTGAACGAACCACACTAGTTCCTGGACAGATTGAGTTCCAGTAATAACCCCCCAATGTAGGTGTTTGAGGCTTTGATTCAGTTAATTATACAGCCCATTAATTATATAAGTGATCATATTCTCTAGTATTTTATCCATAGTTACTGGTTCATCTAGGAATTTTCTAATGATCATATTTTATTAGTTTCCCTCTTTACTATAAAAGCGGGTGGTCCTTCATAATTGATTTTCATTACATTAATATTTAAATAAATAGAGTCAAGCCCCAAATGTCCCACATGTGTTGGTGCCTCTCCGTGTGTTTGCGGTGCTGGTATCCTTGTTCTGAATATTTCATGTATAAATATATACATGAATATTTCATGTATAAAATATTTCATATTTTAACTTGCTTGTTGTAATTTGTTTGTAATTATTGTTGTTTTGTGGTCGGCCCTTCTGGCCGGCGTCTTTCTGTTTAGTACATTTGTTCTTTTATGTTTTTGCACGTTTGTGCTTTGTACTTTTGGTCTGTTCCATGTTGTAATTGTTTACTTTTATTCTACTTACAAGCATGCTTGCATGTAAAAAAAAAAAAAAAGAAACTAATATGCACACCATACTTTTGAGTATAGCGATTATTCACCACTTTTATTATATAAATATATTACAATACATACTATTGAATAATATTACTGCAAAAAACTAAGAAAAAATCAATCGGAGACATTGAAACAATTAGGTAATAATATCTTTGTGGCAACTCCCACCTGTCAGCGCGGGTGACGCTGACTGGCTCTGATGACTGCTCTGTCAACGCCCACTTTTTGCCAGACTTCCTTGGTCAATTGCGCCCAAAATATGTCACCTACGATTTTTTTTATTTTTCCCGTGCTCAGGGGACACAAATTAACATGTTTAGAAGACGAAAAACTAATTTTTATATTTTTTTTTCTTGTGCACAGGGGTGTAAATGTCCTCAGGACCCCTGAGCAGTGGAAGGGCTAAAGATTAAGTCACCGGCAGGTGCAACTTCCAACCATAATGAAGAGTGGTTAACCATTAAACACCAGGTTCACTCTGGCTAACAGACGATGCCACTCGAGACGCTGGATTATATTTAAATTATTATTAAACAGCTAAGCTGTTCAACCTTATTGATTGATAACAAAAACGATATAACATGAAATTAATTAAGTTAACTTCAAGTTAATAAATAAATATCAATAATTAATTTATATTTAATAAATTGCTAATCCTGATCTATCTCAAATATTACTAACACCATAAATTCCCCTCTGTGGGAAATGTGGGAAACTTACATATACCTATGGAATACATTCCACTGTTAAATATTTTATTATACAGTCTACTCACGAAGGAAATTAAATAAACTAACCTAGTCACATAATCCAACATTTAGTACAAACTAAAGAACCATAATAATAATAGAGTTTTCTGAGTATCTGCCTCGATAGGTTTGAGGGGTTGCTTAGCTTTAAACGTTTCTGGTTAGGTAAAATATTTCGTTCAGTGTCAAACTTCGTATTATCATTGGCATATATATGAGTGCAAGATAGTTATATAAGAAACACACATTTAAATATTTAAAAGTGTTAATGTGTGTAAGTAGTGCAGTTATGCAATAGACCAACAGTAAAGGACTCACCCGCCAGGGGGCTGTAGCTTGCTAGCCACGTGACAAGCATGACTAACACAGGCGTCGCTCACACCACTCAGATCCAGCCACACTCGCCGGGCTTCGGGTAGCGGCACTAACGCTGCCGGAAACACTTCTGCTGCTACTCTCACCTCTGTAATGATACACGAGACTATCTGCATCCACCATTTTCTCGTAACACCTTCTCTAGCAACATGAACATTACCTCTGTGTGTATTATGTTATTATCCCCAAGTATGGCTTGTAGTGTTGAACTTCCCCCCTTATTCAGTGAACCTCCTGGCCTCAAATAATTCAATAAGAAATGTCTAGGGTTGAGTGAAAGTCCAAGTAAAAACTACCAGTTTACTGGAGCGAAATTATCTACATGACACAGCATATATAGACAATATTTTCATGACCACAACAAAGTAAATTTAAATCAAGCAAGTTAACACATGGCAGAAGTCACAGCAGCTAGATATCACTAAGGAAAGATAATCTAATAACATGAGTACACTAGGCAGCCTGGGACTGGCAACCAAGTTGTAGACAAGGTGAGTGGTGATGTTACATAACCAGAGTCGAGGGTAATGTCTCAACATGAACATCAATAAACACAAGTCTGTGAACTATCACTTTGCCCTCAGAAAAATTAAGTCCCAATTGCACTGCAAAATGGCATAGTCGAAAAGCTCTTCTCGACAGTCAGACTGGGTCATCTAATAAGGTTAGCAGACTTTTAGATGTTACCACTGTTAGGCTTAGGCTCGGCTACAAATATCTCTGGGAGTTTGTAACATCTGCTGATGTAGACTTGACTAAATGTAAACTGTCAGCAGAACTACTCGCACACATTGCGTCATTATATAATGGAATGTGAACAAATCGTGGAATTCAGAGATAACACTATCAATGGAGTCCAAGAAATGAGTAAGTACTTCATTCATAATGATATACTGCCAGGAATCTTAGCGAAGTATCCAAAATTTGCTTACTGTAGGTAAGCTTAGTCGACGTCATACCTATGTACTTAGATTGAAGGTTACATCCTTCATGGGGGCAGTTGTACATGTATACAGCGCTTGGCTGTTGTAAAGGGTTCTCCGTCGGCTTCGAGTTGTTTTGATAAGGAGGTCGGAAGTCTTCTTGGTTTTGTAGAATATGTTCAGGTCTATGTTTTGGTTAGGAGTAATGCTTTTTACTCCTTTACGGATTATTTCTTTCATTATTCGTTCTTCTTTTTTATGTTCACTGTGCATGGTTGATTTGTAATATAATTTTATTAGAGGTATTATGGTTTTTGTTCTAGGTTCAGGATTATACAATCGGTCCAGGTGTCTTCTTATAGCAGCGTTTATTTCTGCGTTGCTATATCCGTTGTTCACCAATACCTGTGTTATTCTTTCAAACTCTCTATTCACGTTGCTCTATTCGGAGCAGTGGGTAAGCGCTCGACGAATATAAGCATTGAGAACACTGGCTTTGTATCCTTGGGGGCACTAACTTTTACCGTTCAGGCATAATCCAATGTTGGTAGGCTTAGAATATACGTTGGTGCATAAAGAGGTTCCTGTTTTTGTTATTAGTACATCGAAGAATGGCAGACTGTTATTTTCACTATTTTCATGTGTAAATCGGAGTACTCACTCTCTCTAGATGGCTTTTAGATCTTTTAGGCATTAGTTCATCTGAGTCTTTTACTATTACGAATATGTCATCTACATAAGGGGGCATATCATTTTAAATCGTTATAAATTAAAAGTTGTTCAATTTGCTCATAAATTTATTTATGAAATGGTTATAAAAAGCGCTGCAACTGGTCCAAGCTTCGCCATCACACCCTAAACAGAAAAGGAGAAAAAAAATACAAAACATATTATGCAACGATTTTTCAACATTTTTAAATAATTTCAGGAAACACATGTGTCAACTAAAATCCTTTCTATAACACTCAGATATTAAAATTAGCATATAATAAAGGATTGTAGTGATCAATTTTATCAAAAAAGTGTTTAGTGCAATAATATAATTATTCAAAGTTACCCTTCCAAAAATATGCAATATATGATGTTTATAAATTTTTATAAAATCAACAAATGGACTTTGGACTAAAATGTCTACTAGGTACTGTAGAAGCACAAACTCTACATATAAGGTGTAATTTGCATGTAAATTGATTAATAAATGAAAGCTCTGAAGTACTTTGAAGTTGTAAATTACTTTCCAGAGTAAAATAAAGATCCAAGTTCGGCCACCTGTAGCTGAGCTTGACTTCGACAGATTTCGTTCATAATTGGCACCCTTGCAGATAGGCATCCATTGAGCAAGGTGTGCAAGTTTCATGCAAATCCCTTGATAACAAACGAAAAAAAAAATTGGCCAAAAAAAAGAAGAAAAAAAAAGAAAAAAAAATTTACATATAAATATATTGCACATACATATTACAATTATTACAAGAGTTTGTGCTTCTACAGCACATAGTAGACATTTTAGTTGAAACATGTGTTCCCTGACATTATTTGAGAATGTTGAACATTCGTTGCATAATACGTTGTGTATTTTTTTTCTCCTTTTCTGTTTAGGGTGTGATGGTGAAACTTGGACCAGTTGCAGCCCTTTCTATAACCATTTCATAAATAAATTTATAAGCAAATTGAACAACTTTTAATTTATAACGATTTAAAACGATATGCCCCCTAAGGCAATATACAGTTGGTTTTTGTCTGCTACTGAAGACTCTGTCTTCGATGGTTCCCATATAAAAATTAGCAAATAAAACTCCTAGGTTCAGGATTATACCAACGGTCCAAGTGTCTTCTTATAGCAGCGTTTATTTCCGCGTTGCTAAATCCGTTGTTCACCAATACCTAAGTTACTCTTTCAAACTCTACTCACGTTGCTCCATTTAGAGCAGTGGGTAAGCGCTCGACGAATATAGGCATTGAGGACACTGGCTTTGTATCTTTGGGGGCACTCACTTCTACCGTTCAGGCATAATCCTATGTTGGTGGGCTTAGTATATACGTTGGTGCTTAAAGAGGTTCCTATTTTTGTTATTAGTACATCCAAGAATGGCAGACTGTCATTTTCACTATTTTCATGTGTAATTTGGAGTACTGACTCTCTCTCTCTAGATGGCTTTTTAGATCAATTAGTTCATCTGAGTCTTTTACTATTACGAATATGTCATCTACATAGGGGCAATATACAGTTGGTTTTTGTCTGCTAGTGAAGACTCTGTCTTCGATGGTTCCCAAATAAAAAGTAGCAAATAACACTCCTAAAGGGGAGCCCATTGCTACTCCGTCTATTTGTAGATACATGTCTCCTTGTGGACTAATGAAAGGGGCTTCCTTTGTACATGCCTCGAGAAAACTCTTCAAGTGTGACTCGGGTATGTCTAATTTGGGGGTGCTCTCGTCTCTGTATACTCTGTCCAGTATAATTTCTATGGTTGTGTCGACTGGGACGTTGGTAAAAAGGGATTTGACGTCCAGGGAAACAATGATTCCATCGGGCTGTGTAGTTTTGATTAATTCTAGGAAATCTGCTGATGATTGTAGACTATAGTTGCTTGGAGTGTATGGAGTTAGACGTTTGTTAAGTCTTTTTGCCAGGTGATAGGTTGGAGTTGGTATTTGGCTGATTATTGTGCGTAGTGGGTTACCTGGTTTGTGTGTCTTAACATTGCCGTAGGCATATCCTAAGCCATAGTCGCCTTGGAGTTTAGTGAAATGCACACTACCTTTCTTTGCGTTGATTGTAGTAATAGTTTTGTTCACTTTGCGTTTAAGGTCTTCCACTGGGTTCCTCGTGATTCGTTGAAATTTGGTGTCATCGCTAAGGATGTCGCTAATTTTGTTCATGTATTCTTGGGTAGGAATCACTACATATGCTGCTGTCTTGTCGGCTTTCTTATTGTAACGTCTTTCAGATTTTTTAGTTGTTTTGCTGCTTCTTTGAGTCGTGGGGTTAAGATTGTAGATGAATATGTTCCTCGTTTTTTTCCCCGCTTCTGTTAGTAGATCAGCCTGAAGTGTGTCAGTAGTGATGACTTTTTTGTTGTCTTCTAACTTGTGGATGTCGTCCAGAAGCATTTCGATTTCAAGACGTTTTTGATGCTTCTTGGGTCTTGATATGAATTGGCAGTTTAGGCCAAGATTCAAGAGGTCTCATTGGTCCTGGCTCAGATCATGAGTAGTTAGGTTTATGTAGCCGTCTTTTGGACGAGGGATTTTTAACTGTCCCCCGTTGAGGGCTGTCAGCTTGTGGAGTGTCCTTGTTTCGACTTGCGTTTTGTGTTGTAGTTTTAGCCTTGATAGCTCACTGTTGATGGTTTGCCTTAGTTGATTGGGGATGTCGTACTGGGTCCATTTCCTTAACTGAGGTTTAGCTAGCTCTGTAAGGGTTTGGAAGGCTTCCTTCGTCGTGTAGAGTTGATGCCATATGAGATCTTTCCTATACCTATAGGTAAACTCTGCGTTGCGGACTGCTCGGTCATGTGGGCTTATATTGGTGTATACTGGCAGCAGGTTTTCTTTTATGCATGTCTCATTGAATATGACAGCATATTCCGTATTTACTATTTTCTGATTTAGGGCTTCTATCCCTCTTACTAATGCTCTTGCATCAGAGTTCAGCTGGAAGAGGAGTTCACCAAAAGTCATGTTGTTTTAGGTGAAGAAAAGAATTGAATAACTGAAGAATATATTACACTAATTATAAAATCGTAATATTTGTATGATTTTATAATTAGTGTAATATATTCTTTATTTACAGTCCCAAAATGCCCACTTGGGGACTGTAAGCCCCAAAGAACTCAGTATATATAGGCAAGACAACAACGTCTCTTTCCAGGCTACTAACAATGTATAAGCAACAGGGTGCCATCATGGAACATATAATCTCTTCTCACAACCAGACAATCACCAGAGAATTCTTAACAAACAACACAGAAATCATTGATAGATACAGCATTAACAGGCGGCTCGACATCAGCGAGGCACTACACATCAAAAAGTCAACACCAGCAATCAACAGCCAATTAATGCACAACTATATTCTACCGACTTCAATGCATCGTATGGCCAATAGGCCCTGACTGACCAAGTCTCACCCCTTTTACATATTATGTGCAAAGTTCTCAGTTCT